TTTTAATTTAAAATCAATAAACATTGTTCTTAACAAATTGGCAAACGTCTTTACAATCCTTGACTCAGTAATTGCCTCATCCATAATAATAATTATAATATTTTGATAAAAGAAGGCAACTTTTGTATTGCCATACAATTAAAAATGCTATATTGCTAACAACACATGTTAATTAAAGTTATTATTAATCTACCTTAAGTAAAATACAGATTTCATAAATTTATATCAATATCTTAATACTAGTCAACACTGTTTTCCATTTCTTTTTAAAACATGATTCGAAAATAGTATTACTGCCTTGAAACTTCAACACAAATAACATCATATTAAAAAAATTAGTAAGTCTAGTTGAATTACCACACACGTGAATATCTTCACTTTTGCAAAACTCGTACACTTTCAATTGCACATTTTTCTTATTATGTACTGTTTATTTAAACTCATTTATCAGTCGATGCATTGCCTTTTGAAATTTATTAGTGTATTTATTTTTTACAAAGCAAAAATCTTACAATGACAAATCTCATTGTATTATAAAGATAGTTGCTTATTGGTGACATATTATGCTTTGAGAATTTGAGCCACAACCACGTTTTGTAATAAGTTTACTATATTTAAGATGAATTGAAGACAAATAATTTCTTGTTTTAAATAATTTTAAATTGAATTGTGAATTGAAAATTGTCACTGTTAAAACACTCTTACACTAATTTTTTAGATGGGATATAATGCAATTTTTAGGTAGATTAATTATTAAACATTTAAATTTAAAAAAAAAATATTTTGAATTCATAATCAATTTAAATAAAGTTGTGCAACAATTTGTTTCAACTTCCTTGATGTTATTGTTAGATGTTCATTTATGACACATGCTTTCCAAAGACAATGCAAATTCAATGAGTAATAGAATGTTTTTCGCTACATGGTTCTTGGTACATCACTCTAATCTATACACTTTTCATAGACTATTCATCAAACACTAATAGTTGTATATGGATTGAACATATTTGTATATGTATTGTATAGAACATGATTTTTGGCAGTCTATCTCAAAATACACAAATTGAAACACAAGACTGTTCCATCCTACATTGTTATAAATTCATCAGCCCGAAGAAGAAATATGAATTGACTCAATATTTTTGTTACAACACATGGTATAAAAGACTAAAAAAAAGTTAAAACATATATTCATCATACAATTTTTACACAACTTTTGTGTACCAAACAAAAAAATCGCTAACGAATTATCAGATTATGTATAATTTTTTAATAAATTCATGTATGTATGGTTTTATTTAACTATAAATCAATTAAACACTTTTTTATTAATAATTATGTAATATTAAATTGGCTTTTGTGTAAAATATTTGTTGGTTTTATAATATAAACATCTGTATGCTTTTTATTGGCTATTTGTTACTAGATTTTTTACATATAATAAATTCATTGCTATTATGCATTGTGGTAATTCTTGTAATAACAGGGCAAACAAAGACTACAAAAACACTTAATGACTAATTATCAAGTGTACATTATTAATGGAAAGTGTAAAGTATTTACTGAATTCTTTTGAGATAATTCAATTCAGATCATATCCTAAATTAGTGATCAATTATTTAGGCCGAAACTTGTATTTAGAAAATATATTATATTACTTTACATTTAACATGTCAAAACACTAATAAACAGTGACAACTGAAGTAATAAAGACCTTTAAAATATAATAGTTATTTAAAGTAATCCGAAATCGTTTTAGTAGCCTTTTCTGACAAACCAATAACAGAAAATTAACTTCTTTAGCCCATTCCAAAATAATTTTAATAATGATGAATTTATAATCGCAAATGCTTTATATATATATTATTGTAAACAAAAATAAATATGAACAAAATCGTTCTTAGACAACAATTATTCAAATTTTACTCATCATTCATCACCTTCTGTTACAAATTTTACAATACCTTATTGAACCGGCTCTAGGTCACTTATGGGTTCATCTACAGATATTATTTGGATACATTTTGGCTTTGTGACATCTTTAGTGAGGAACACAAAGATGGACTCAGTGCCAGTATGATCACCAACTCAACAACACCCACCATAAACTATACAATAACTTTTTTCATTTCCACAAACTCTGTTTCAACTAACAACATTAAATGTACAAAATGTGTTTTTTAATTGTATTTTATCATGATTCTTCTCAATATTTTTTCCACGATGAAACAATAAATCATAAATTGTGTCTGATATGATTGATTTTGATTCCAAATACACTTAAATTTGGTTATTTGAATATATATTGGTATCAATCGTCGAGTGACTAGAATGTGAAAATTATAAGTCAAAATTCACTTTAAACTGCCAATTCTCCTTTCCAATCACATTATATTTTAAAAGTTAATTTTCACTTCCTATCTTTATGTTATTTTTATAATTAAAGATATAATTAATTGAATTAAAACATATTTCTTTCATCACTGTTGCCAAAAGTATTTACAAAGATCGCCCAACCTCATTTAGAACCTACGAATAAGAAAATGCAATGTCAGTCTCAAACTGATTTCTTAAATGTTAACAATTTTCTACAAATGTACAAATGAATCGATACTAGAGCTATCATTAGTGGAAATTTACATTGTAAAGATAAGTATATTCAGTTGAGAATTTTATTAAAATTAAAGGGTGCTGGGGAAGAACTCATCTGTCCAGTTTTTGTATCAAGCTTAAGGTGAATAGCAGTCACAGTACTGTGATATAGTCTAAGTGACAAAATGGCAAAGCAACTTCAGTCCAAAGGTGTTAAAAGATTCACTATATTAAAAAAAATGCATGAACCTGTAGTTCACACTTCTTCCCTTTGCAATCCGAAATGCTGAAATGTGCAAATGGAAACATAATGTTTCCCAAAAAATAACATCCCCTAGCATATACCAATGATTCTAATTTTTTAAAATTTGAGACTTGCAAGAACTAATAAGTTTCCTTGAAGACCAGAGGCTAAACATTTCAATAAAATTTTTGCCTACATCAACCAACTTGAAGAAAGTGTGATTGAACACATACATAGATGATTCACCGATTGATGTCTGATCCCAGGAAAAAGTGACTTTTTTGTAACATTTTGATTTGCTTCTTTTATATCCCATCAAAAACTTGTTTTAAATGGTCTGCATTCTAATAAACATAATTTTTTGCCAAACAATTTAAATAATATTTTTCCTAGAATCCAAAATCATAACAAGTAATATACTTTAAATTGTCTGCCAAATTCAATTTCAGTGGACTAAGTCATTTTTCCCCAGTGCCCTTCAATTACATACAAATTAAATTAATAGAAAAGTCTTATTTACATAATTTAAATCGGCATTTACAATGCCAATGATAATTTATTTACTTGACATCAATGCCATATAAAATGCATAAAAATGCTTACAGTCATATTTGATGAAATGTTCATAGGAAATTATAAATATTGTACAAAAATATTTATTCTTGTCTGGTAATTTCATATTTACAATGAAAAGTAAGAAGTGCACTATGCACCAATCTTAAATTATATTTTATAGTTTAAAGAAACAAGTGAAGCATACTATTTTTCTTTTTTATTAGTTGGGTCGGGTTTAAACAAAAGAGGAACATGCAATTTAGTTGTTACTGATCATTTTGGTCTGCCTTTCCTTGCTTTGGTCCTGGCAAGGGTACGTAGGCCAAAATGATAATGATCAAATTATAGGTTCATCACCCCACATATCACATAGAAGAATCTCATGATTGAACGGAGGAACTTGTTTATTGTATGGGGGATTCAACAATAGAAAATATTTTAAATATTGCAATTATTTTTCTTTCCTTTTTGAAGAGCTAATAATATAGAACATGTTGAACCAAGTATTTGCACTCATGTTATATATGTACATTTTTTAGTCTAATAAAATTTATCAAACAACTCGTATTTTTAAAAATTAGTGTTGATTAAACACTACTTCTGATGTTTACATCTATACAAACAATACTACATTAGTCTAAATAAAATTATTAATTCAAAATGTTGGTTCATTTCATATTGACAAATCAACATTTAAAATTATTCCTTCTTAAATCAATGTTTGTTTCTCATCGTTGAGACAAAACACAAGTATATATTGTTGACTAAATTCTATTTAATTATATTCTTTAACAACTAATACAATCAGAATTTAATACTATAGAAATTATTATAATCATAATATATCTTGGTGCTATTATCATTAATAATACAGTAATATAAGGAATACAAGTGGAAACTGACAATGTTCTGCAATTTATCCATGTAAAAGCATCACTTATTTGATGCTAATAAATTTATTATTACAATAAATTAAAATATTAAAACAATTTTTGTTTCACTTAAACTGAAAAACAAATTATTTTAAATCACAGGTTAGTAATAACTATTTTAAAGACCTCTGCCAACATTAATACCATGTTTACTTACAACAACATAACACATTTTATTTTATCCTTTATTGCCAAGTTTATACAAATACTAATATTAACAGTTGATTCAAACAATGATTTATTTAACAGTACATCATTTATAGTGGCAAATATCCCACTGTAACATCACAAATATTTTATTATTCCTAAAGGAAAACGTTATGATTTTAAAGTATATTATAAATATAATAAGTCATTGCTTATTATTAAATAATGCACCTTAAATTACAACATTTATCATATATAAGAATAATTATAATGTGTAAACAATTTATTATAACTACTTATTAAGCTAGGTTACATTGAACACTTGCAAAGGTCTTAACAACTATAAAATAACCAGTGACTCTTAGTTAAAAATGTAATATCCTACACACCTAACAGAATGAATAACACTTACAACTAATTAACAAAATATAAATTATTTTCAATTTATCCTCCCAAGGAAATGATTTATTTACAAGAGTAATTATAAATTATCTTTGGTTCTGTAAAGGTAATTTTTAATAAGTGGTCAATTTAAAGAATAGTAAAATTTGTTTTTACAAAATGCCTTGGTACCTTTGGAGATATCAAATATTAATTTTTAAATGCTACCCTTTACAGCTGAACTTCTTTTTGTGCATTTTTTGACAATTGGTTGGTTGAAAATACTGATCTAGATGATGAGGATGATTGTCTCCTTTCTTGTTGGGCCTCATCAACACTCATGTTATCATGGTCAGGGCCATCTGTATTGCTTGTGTCCGTACCATCTTTAGCTTCATCTTCTGCTTCTCCAAATGCTTCATTGTTGCTTTCTACTGGACTTTGTGCAATGGGCGTTATTGATGTTGATAACTGTGGAGTGGGTAAATCACCTTCAATGGCACTCGAACGACGCAATCGACACTGGTAAACAAAAATTATAATATAACTTAATAAACATAGTGATAAATTAAATATAATTATATACCTGGTATCTTTCTAATTCTGGTGTTGTTGCTAAGAAAAACGCATTGTTTTGAAATTTATCATCGTCTGTAGGTTTTAATCTTCTTTGTAATAACCCTTCCATCATCTGATAATCATTGTCTTCTGCATCTTTTAAATGCTCTTTTTCCAAAAACCGAGCCATTTCAGGATTAGACATCTCTGAATGGTGGCGAGATCGTCGAGTTTCACGATCCCCCCGTCTAGGAGGTGTTAATAAACTGGGTGATTTTGGTGGACTAAGTAAACCGCAAACAGTTTCTAGTTCATCTGTAATGCTGCATAACACAAATAAAATATCAATCAACTAAGTCACTATCAAGTCACTAAATTGACTGATAGTTTATTTATCAGCATTTATGAATTTAATAACATACCTAGTATATTCTGTGTGCATTGCCATTAGCATTGATCTAGCATGTGATGCCGGTGGGATGACTTTGATCCGGGGCTCTGCCCAAGTGACTGAACGCTCGACAAGAGCTATGTGGCGACCTGATAACTCACCTGTAGCCGCATCGGGTTCAGAGTGAGTTTGAGACAATTGTCTTTGAACTGGAAGTAGGAGAGAACTTTCTTGGCTTCCGTGAGGAGTACATTCTACAGCAGCTTCTTCCTCATTACTAGCTTCAGAGATCTACAATTAAAAGCAATAATGTTAATAATATACATATTTATAATGAATAAAATAATGTAACCACATTTTGTGTTTTGGTGTCTGATTCACTGTCGTGAATAGGTTTCATTGTATCACTTCTCATCTGCATCGTTAACCTAGAATGTGCGAAATGAGGAGGATCGTGTGCAAAGTAATCGGATCTTATTTCTGTCAGTGCTCTAACTGGAGGCCCCTTCCTTCTTGGTCTGTCAAAAATATCAGACATTTCTGGTTCAGAATGTTCACTGGCTCTTCTTGTTCTTCCATGTTCAGACGGTGGGAAATCAGGAGGGTCAACTTTGCTGTGAATCGACATAAAGCGATGAATAACAGACAGTGCTGAAGATGTTTGTTCTGCAAGTTCTTCCAATTTACGAATGCGAAATTCGACAGTCTAAAAATTTAAAAAAGAAATTTCACAAAATAAACTGTAAAAAACCCATTTCACAAAAAAAAATTTAACCTGCAAAGATGAATTCTGACTATTTTCCTTTTGATTAATATCTTCAATTTTTTGATACATATTTTCAACTCGCTCGGTTGTTTGTTTAATTCTTTCTTCTGTCGACTGATGCAGTTTGCTTTCTTTTTCTCTGAAGTAGCCTTCGACACATTCCTCCTCAAAATCATAAAGTCTTTCTAAATCCTCTGAGTCTAGAAATAACTTCAGTCCATTATCGTAAGTTTCTTGTACACCTTGAACTTTTCTCCTTAAGAATTTAACCAGTAAGTAAATATGACTTAAAAATATCATTGGTGGAGGGAGAACAGGTTTTTGTTCATATTCCATGACAACAGTAAATCTTTGAAACATCCAAACCTAAAAATATATCTAGTAATGAAAAGATTACAAATAGGGTTCTAACAGAAGAAAAAGACGCTTTCTAACCTGATGTGCTACAGCATTAACTTCTATGAATATATTATTAAAAACAGCAATAAGCAGGTTAATCAATAATATATTAGCGACTAGAAGGTAGACTGACATAACCACAACTGTAATCCAACGGCCAGTTTGACATGGTTCCATTCCAGGTTCATCTCCACATGGAGGATCGATACTATCTGCAAACACCTAAAAATGAATGAGCATTAGTATTTATATATCAAAACTATGAAATAAAGGTCAAATAAAAATGCCTATAACTTACTTCACCATACAACATGAAGTATGGCTGAAAAAAAACATCCTTTGCTAATGTCCAACTTGCGTCTGAGTCAGGAAATAAAATTGCTTTACGGCAAACACCGAAACTCATTAATACAACAAGCAATAATACGACAAAGTATATCATGTTTTTAACCATTTTCCCCATCATTGTAACCAATGGACCTTTAACATCAATTAACATGAATTAGTATTTTCTCATCAATGTAACTTGTAATTATGCAATTAAACTACCTAAATATTTGTTTACACCAAGAATGTTTAGGATTCGAAGGTACCAATATATGATGTCTACACAGAACATAACTCGGCCCACATCCATAGATGATGGTTTTAAACGTAAAGACAGCCCTATTAGAAAGAAAATTATGGCGACTGCATCACACGGATTCCACATATTCCAGGCCCAAACTGAAAATTTATGGCTGGAACAGAAAATAGATTATTAATATTTAAATATTTATCAGTTGCATTTTTCAATTTTTCTACCTTATTGCAACCGGTTCAGATGAAGCTATTTCTCTTATTTTTTCACAACCTAATGTACAAATGTAAGCAATGCAGTACATTTCTTGCCAGGTTGGGGTAGTTCCCATCCTTACAAGTACAACAAAACTGAAGATAAACAGGAATGCAAGATATGCGATCTATAGTAAAACATACAATCAAATTTCAGATATTTTTTTTAAATAAAATGTCACCAGGGCCGGCTATATACATTTTTATGACTAAAGTGACTACTAAAGTACAAAGAAAAAAATATATTCCTTAGAAATCTGTTTGGATATTAAAAAAGCCTTCAACTGAGTTGAGTAAACTCTTTTTTAAAAGGATGCCTCCAAAACATTTTCAGAGACATTGAAAGCCAATTCAAAGAAGGAAAGGAAGAAATAGCAACTAGGCGCACCTCCTTTATCCAGGAAATTCAGAAAGGATGCTCTCAAGGGTATATGTTCCAAGACCTTTGGAATGTGGTATGTAAGTCTACTGTGAACTAGAAAATATGGAGTAGAATTTGTTGTCTTGGAGGTATAATCGAAGCCAATACTAAAAAAAAGGCTCCAGGAAAGATCCAAAGTATTAGTAAAACCAATAGTGACATGGTGCAATAAGTCAAATCTGAGGACATTACCAGTAAAATATCATATGATAATCCACAAAGGTAAACTTATGATCATACGAATGTTAAAATAGTTGCAAAATTCATAAACCTAGCAACAGCGGGAAATGTATCATTCCATGTTATCAATGACTTTTGCCAAGATGCGCAGAATTGCATGACAATGAAGGTATTCCAATGTACACTGTATAAATGTGTAGTGTTTCTGCTTACAGGGTATTCCAGGCTGTGCACCAAACCTGAGGAGTAAAAGCAAAACTGGAATAAAGCCAGAAGATTGTTCTACTAAAATGCACCGAATGATATGGACAACATCAATGCATACCTTCAGTTATCGCCTAGGCCTTCAAAGACCTTCAAAGTAAAATTACAAGAAGACAAATTAAAGAGGGACTTCGCCTAACCTACAAGTATAGAAGGGTTGGAGCTAGGATAGCTGTGAAAGTAACAAAAAATTCAATGTTGAAAAAAAAAAAAAAACAGAAAAAAAGATTAGGCAAATAGGACACTAGTGATAAAAGAAGATTGACACAGGATTCCTTCCATCAACAAAGAAAGAAAAATGCAATGTGAGTGTTAGGCCATAAAGATTAAGTTTATTGGCCATATTGATGATTAAGTTTGTGTTATCAATTTAGTGCCGGCCCTACATATCACAACTGTTTTTACAAAGTTCATTCCCATTACTTACAGAGTGAGCCCAAAATTTTGCAATTGGTGCTGTATAGAACTCGTAAAGTTTTCTTTTTAGCCTTAGTGGTCGTGTAGGTTTTAGGTCGTAGTATGCAGGGTCCAAGGGCAGTGGTAAAAACTGACTTCCTGCATCAGAACTACTGCTTGTGTCTGTTATTACTCGGCCATTTTCTGTTACGATTGTATCACGCAGTTGAGCATCCATTACAAGTGCCTACAATTAAAACCAAATTATTATGAAATAAAATTGTTTTAAAAATATAACTTTACCTCAACATCATGTTCTGTATTCCTGTGGGAATCCAGCCCCTTGCTTCCCTCCATACTTTCATTTTCTTCTTCCAAACCAATAAGATGTTCTTCTTCTGTCTGTGGCATTAACTGTAGCTCTTCTTTCGATTTGAATTCTAATTTTGCAATATAAATAGGAAAGAGTAGGCCAAATATCACCTAATAGAAAGAATACAATTAATTTACATAATTTATAGAAAATAAACTAGCCAACTAACCTTGATATTTGTATTCTTTCGTGTTCTAAGTCCCCCCATCCATAAGTCAGCAAGTATGATCTGACTACAAGGATGAGCAAGTAATTGCCTATGATTGGCAGCTACTGCTAAACTAAGGCATGTCTGTCCACTCCAATTTTGGAGCTCACAAGTTAACAACTGTTGCGTTTGGTCATCATCTTGTCGATAAGAATAATCCAGCAATTCTAGACCTACAATAAACCCTGATTATTTATTAAGTTGTTAAATATCAAATACATAATTTAATTCTTCCTTGACTTTCAGTTACTATGACCTGTAAATAAAAATGTGGTATTTTTACGTACCAATAGTTTCAAACTCTTTTCCATAATTCCTGAGCTCTTCATAGATTTCCGTTTCTAGGTCATCCTCAGCTGCTTCATGAGCCATAGCTTTGTATAACTTGCATGCAACAAGCGCTTTAGCTAAAGCTTCTTCACCATGCTGCCACATGAGCAAAGCCATCTCCTGCCGCTTGGTTAGCACTGCCCAAGTCTTTGAAAAAAAAAAAAAAAGTGCGATTGCAGCTTAATTTACACAAGATAATTTTTCATTAGATTTAGGAAAATTACAAGTTTACTTGTACCATGTATAATAAATATAATGAAATCAAGAATGTACAATTTTAAGCATATTATGCAGTTTAGCATAGTATCATGCTGGAATACTTTCTCAGCTATTAAAATGATATTTATTTCTTTAAGAATTTATTTCCCAGCTATCATAAATATTCATATTAGCTAATGGACTATTACTTATTAATTACATTAACTACAATACTATTAATTCTAACTTACTACTAGAAACCTAAATTTTTTTTACTTTATAGAAGATAAAATATAATTATTTCCTGATTCTTTTTCGGTGAACGTCTGTTATGTCACAGAGCTAAAAAAAATTGATGACACTTAGACATATAATATGCAAAACACCTTAAACCTCATAGATGGATGATGGTAGAAAATGGGCTTAAAATTTAAACAGTTGTATTTTTAATGTATATATTTAATATAAACCTATGAAAGATTTCTCATACCTTTCATAAGAAGAAGGAATCAAAATGTAAAATCACAATTTAAAATAAGCATAATATAGCCTTCTTCAAAGAAATTAGGTACTTAGGTATAACCAGTGACTGAAGGCATGTAGGCAACATACTACTTAAGGTACATAAAGCCAAGGCACTACTAAGCTACCAGAAATTATGCAGCAAAATCTTGGGAATAAACCCTTGGGGATGGCTGATTGGTTATAAATCACATTGGTTAGACCCTTGGTCATGGAGCACTTGTATGGTGATCAAAAACACTGCTTAAGAAGACTCAAAACATATTGCAGTCTACAAAGATTAGCGTATCTTAATATAACAAGGGCAATGCACATTCGTCCCCCAACAGCGATGAAAACTGCTCTCGATCTTCCACTCTTATACATTCTTGTACAAAAGGAGGGTATTAATGTACTAACAGATGGACTATTGATGAAATAAGAGGAAAATTAATCTTTGACAGACCCTTCCAAGGATCACAGAGATTTGGGAGAAAACGAGACCTAAGTTTTAGGAAAAGACTCTAAATATGGCACGGCACACTTATGGGTCAAAGATAAAAGGGGGAGTAGGTGTAGCAGTAAAGGGGCCTAATTACAACCTAACAAACCCCTTGGACTGGTTTTAACCATCTTCCAACTGAGATCAGATCAATGCAATCCAAAGGAGTTGATAAAAGAGAAAATGAAGGGTGCGTGGATCAACATATTTTCGGACAGTCAGGTAGATATAAAAGCTCTAAATGTATATGCTTTCAGCTCTAAACTAGGCTGGGAATGCCTAAATATCTCAAAAAGGAAAGCGAAGGAACACAGCAGGCAAAATTTAAGAAAATTATATGCCTCTCTAGCCTATACCATTTAAAGAAAATAGGAAAAACAGAGGAAGAAGCAAAACTCTGTCAATAGAAACCACAGACCTAGGCACATATCCTTTGAGATGCTAAGCACTGTTAAGAGCTGGGGTTTAGCTAATGCACTTGCATTTTGGCAGCAGATAAATATGTGCTAAGGGCAACCATGAAGGATTCGAACATTTCCTAACTTAATCAAAATTCAGTAGTAACATATTAATTCATTATGTTATCAATATCAGATCATTAATTCCTACAAATGTACCACCTGTAGTCAATTGCTATAAATTCAACCTTCAATGAATAAAAAAAGCCATCTTTGATGGAAAAAATATGGCCAAAAGTATTCTTTTGTTTCAATTAATTTCATACTTTTTGATAAAGTGTAACAGATGGGAATCTGAAACAAATTGACTTATTTTATAGGTTAGACAATAAGGTAATTCCTGTGATAAAGAAGCAATTAACATCCACTGACACGTTGTTTGCCACAGATGAAATGTCTATTTGCAAACACATTTTTTATTTTATGATCATTAAAAATCCATGGGATTACCTGGATTCGAACCCAGAACACATTGCAAATACTATTTGGATGCCCTAACCACTCGACCACTGCTGTCACCCTAGGCTATACAATATAGNAGGTGAGTTAACGCAATGGTTAAAAAAGTGGTCGTCAGTCATTAATATTTTATAACAATTTATTTAAAAAAAAAGAGCCAGTGTGGTACTTATTCAGACGTTTGTTTCTAGTAATATTACTTGTTCATAAATGTTATGGAATGATTCCACATAACTGTGAGGGAGCAGCTATTTTATGCAAATTCTCTCATGGAATTGTTTGTGATTGCTGGTAAAGTCTCAATTCTAAAGCTACGAAAATTGGATTCGGTTGGTTCAGTAATCCGTCATGTGTCAACCCTATCCCACCGAGGTATTGTACCGCATAAAACTACTCTTCAATACACTTTTTCAAGATGAAGTTATAGGTTTTTGTCCTTGCCAGGCTTCAGCCTCTTTTTGTGAATCCTGCATACTATTATGCAAACTTTGATCGAACTACGAGGGGCTGACAATTTCAGGATTCAGTAAATAAATCACTTAGAAAGAAAATTATTTCTTCCAGCTTTCGAGAAAAAACTCCTCTTTATCAGTACTTTAAATCTTTAAATAATAATTAAAAAAGTTAATAAATATGAATCACTAATTTGAAAGTACAATGTAATTAAATATAAAAGTATATTATTAGAAAAACCAAATTGCCCATAATTGGTGCGATTTTTCAAATTCAAGCATGCCAACAGCTCTAACTGGCCTTTACTCTCATTATGTGGGTATGTCGGTGAATTTTTTCGAATTCACAGTTCAAAAAATATGTATAAGCTCTCCTGGACGGAAGAAGATCCCAAAATATGTATGTACAAATTTGTTAGCAAGGCGCTTAAATAGACTACACCAAACATTCGGATTGGTCGTGCCGGTTTAACATCGGGAAGCGCCTATTTGCGATTATTTCACGTTTATTTCCTTTCTCTCTCTCACTCTCGCTCTCTCTCTCTCTTTCTCTCTCTCTCTCTCTCTCTCTCTCTCTCTCTCTCTCTTTTTCTCTTTCTCGCTTTCTCATTCTCTCACCAAGGACAATTAAAGCGTGCACCTCAAAATATACATATACATAACGAATAAAAGCATACGTCTCTCGAGACTGCGATAAATAAATAATATTATTTACATAACACAACATAATAAACATAAATAAATAAATAATAATGAATAATAAATAATAAATTTTTATTTCCAAATTAAAAAAATGATCTTAGAATTTACAGTTTACGAAAGAAATTAAATCAGACATATTGCAAATAGTATTTTTTAGCTATTAGCTCTACCCTCCGGACGGGTGGCGGGGGGACATCCTGAGCTCCCAGGGCATGTTTAGCCCGGGCCATGGGAAGGTTGCGGAATTTTCTATGAGTACTAGGTAGTGTGTAAATGGTTTTTATCCACAACCCTCTAATACAGCCCGTATGTAAAAAGGTGGGAAGACATCTTCCCAAATAGGCAGGGAGCTTGGATGTTCCTTGGATGATGGTCCCCTGGGCTGCTGTCCTCCCCAAGAAAATTAATTAAGAACATATAAGTAGAATGGCTAGATGTACGATAGTAAGGGGGCTAAAGGAAAAAAAAACTATTAGCTCTAGAGCATGAATCATATTTTTAGGCAGAATACTGTGGTAATTATTGCATAAAAATAATTGCAAATTGCAGGCGCAAATGAAAAACAACAATAAAGCTAAATCGAAACAATACGTATAATATTTTTTACAAACAAAAAGTCGGTTCAATTAGGTCTGCAAGAAAGAAAAGTCTTCTTAAGATAATCAGAGCAATAGCAGGTAGGGTTGGCTGAGGGCGCGATTATCAACAGTATCAAATTACCGAGGCTTTCTACAGTTTAATCCGTATTGGCTTCCATTTTCGACACGAAACTTTTTTACTGTACAATCCAATTATGTCCTTTTATTCGAACATCTTCAACAGTTTGTTTCATACCCGTAGTCATGGCTTTGGTAAAGACTTAAAGTTTTGATTATACTAACCTCGGATAAAGTGTCGTTGATCTGTTATTTTTCCTCAGATATTTAAAGTGTATTTTCATCGTCATTAAAATAAAACTTTTTATTTTCGAATGTAATTAAAAGTTGATTTGTTTCGAAAATTTTACAATAGAGTAGAAGAGCAAACCGTCTATTTACACAAGCCGATTTAAGCCAAACGAAGCGAATCTTTTGTAGGCAGAAACTAAGTTTTCAAGGTAAATTTAATACTCCTAGCTAATTTAACTTTGTTTTGCAGGAATACCACTCATCAACATATAAATGATATGGTGAACTACACTTCGAGCTCGTTTCAATACAAAAAGTATAAACACGAGAGACTCAAGCACATCCTGCTTCACATTAACTAAATATTTTAATCAAAACTTTTCTCTTTTTCTCCCGAAATTATTTTTGAACACAATATATTTATTGTAAATTGTATGTTTAGAGTGAAATAAAAATATAGAAGAGAGCCTGAAACCGCTTACTATTTTTTTTTGCTGGCTAACTGTTAAGGTCATTGCCAGCTCCTCACATATTTTCCATCTCGTTTTTGTTTAGTATTACTGATACTCCAAACTCTTCCACTCTTCTATACGTGGCTTATGTTCCTAATTCAATGTTACATACATGACTACGTTTACACAGGTTTACACACAATATTATTTACAAAAGTACAGTTGGAAAGCCGGCAGGGTGTTCATAACCTAAACATCTTCCCATCATTCACGCTAATAAATACATTCGTACAGAGAAGAACCTTTCAAGACAAACAATAACAGAATGTAAACAATAAAGGCAATTTATGTTTACTTCAGTGAAGAACCAAATCATTTAGCAACGAAACAAACGAAATGCGTTTTTTTATCAAACTTTTTGCCATAACTTTTTGACTAATTTAAAATCCGATTGCACCATTATTTTCAACGTCATTTCATTATTTTCAAAAAATATAAAAAAAAAATATTTTTTGCATTGTATAAATTCACTGTTTTCCACATACTACATGTATTTTTTAAATTTAAGCAATGTTTGTAAATCCCAGGCCCTGAAGATGATCTCAATAAAGATCGAAACGTTGGCACGATAAAGAAAATGTTTTTCTGAAACCTACATCANTATATATGTTGATACAAATTACCAATGATACTCTTACCATTAATTCGTTGAATGGATAGTCGAACAGGGGCATCTCCTTAGACGCTGGAAGAGTCTCCGCGAGTAAGCTGAGGGTGAGGTTCGTGTTGCCGTAGTAGCGGATGAACGAGGAGCTATTCCTGTGGACATGGGGCGATTTCTTCATCACTTTCGCGTAAATCAACCTGAATTTCCGCCTAGTGTACTGCGATCTATAAGGAAAAAGTCTCATGGAATCTCAGAAGGAAGTTGAAGTGAATTTGTCAAAGATGACTTACCTGAATGCCCCTCCCATAAGTTTATTAATGACCAGGCCGATGTCGTGGAGGGTGTAAACGTATCCTCTTGGGATATGCGGCCTGACATCTCTAAGTATGTAGCCTAACGTATTGGACGGGCCTTGTTTCTGAAAAAAATAAACCCAAGAAAATAGAGACATGAAAATATCGACAATGTGATTCGAAAAATTATTTCAATTTCGTGCTGCTAAATAAATTAAGGCCTTTCCTTTTAAACTGTAAGTTTTCAGCTTACGTTTTGACCTAAATAAATTACAAAATGGCACAAAAAATTGTACGTTGATGACCCTTTGGAATTTTATGTTTTGTTTATTTTCGCATTAAATATAATTTTTTTATGTATATATTTATATATACATATATATTTAAATATTTATGCATATAAAAAATCAAGGACACTATCTACAAAGTGCAAGGCATTTTTCTGAAAAGATCAGCAATTTCTCAAGGCGTGGTCATATGGAATGCGTGGTCAACCAGCAAATTTTCGAACACTTCCCATCCTTAAATACTGGTAGTACATTTGTATTAGAAGAGATTATCATAACGGCAAACTCTATCTGGGTCCTATAACCCACATTCTAACAGTCTAATTGGAATTACAGTTATATTTACTTAGATATGATTGAATTTAATCATTATTAATCGTACAATTCATATTCCAACTTTTCTTGTAAATTACTGTCAACCGACCTAATACAAACACTTTGTTATACAACGAACTTCTCGTGGACATAGAATCCCCAGCCGATCATAGTTAGCCGAGTTTAGCATAATTATTTAATAAATTATGATCAATTAATATGTATATTTGGTCCCAACATAAAACTTTAATCGTCAAAGGCGTAAAGCAACAATTCGACGAGAAAGCACCAAAACCCTGGAAATTTTCTGAAAAGTCTGCGTAACGTGAACATTCTTAGAAGTTATGTAGATTCAAAAGCAGTCAAATTTCTGTGGTGTATTACAGAATTTTAATCGTTAATGACCTTGGTCGTAAAGAAATTTCACGAAAACGCATCAAAACCTTGAAGATTTTTTGAAAATTCCGTGTAGATTATTCGGTTTGTATAATCTAAAGATTCTTAGAAGGCAGGTAGGGAAAGCATGAAAATTATGTTTTTCTTTTAATCTTTAACGTCTATAAACAAACTAAGAAATGTGTCTCTTCATACCTCTGATATCATCAAAATTTTGATTTAAGTTAACTGTCCAGAACCCTACGAGAAAGCACGAAAGAACTGAAAAGTTTCGGTAAAATCCGAGGAACCTGAACATTTTTGGAAAGCAGGCTTGAAAAGCATCAAAACGTCAAGGCCCTGATAAAAACCCAAGAAATGTGAATCATTGTAGCAATTTAGTTGATAAAGGCCTAAGTGTCCAGAAATTCTACGAGAATAGATCAAATCACTTAATTTTTCCTGAAAAATACATGTAACCTGAACATTTTTAGAAGGCCGGTTAGGAAAGTGATAAAATCCTGTTTTTAATATTTTTAATAGCCCAGAACAAACCAATAACTTTTGTTTTATTATATATATTAGTTAAAGACCTAAACCAACCAGAAATTTCACGAGAATAGATAAAAAACCTGAATTTTTCCTGGAAAATCCATGGAACCTGAACCTTGTTATAAGATTAGATTAGGAAAGTGACAATATCCTGTTTTTTCTATTTAAATGGTCCAGAACAAACCAAGAAATGTGTCTCATTATAACTATTAGTTAAAGATCTAACTTTCACCCTCACCTTATAATGTAAGTTCGAAAAACGTCAAAATCTTGTTTTTTAAACTTGTAATGGCCCTGAACAAACTAAAAACGGTGTCTCCATATAGCCGTTTAATCGGTGAAGACGTATACTTATAAAAAATTACATACCAAGAAAAGTGTTAGCAAGAAGAGTGCTTGCATAAAAAAAATGTTCGTTCAATGTTATCAAAGGAAGTTTCTTTTAGATAAACTCAAGGCGGTGACAATAATACACAAAGAACATTATTATTATATTATCTTTGTAATGTGAACAATTAATTAAATTTTAGCGAATAAGTTTACCAATTATTTTATATTATAATTTGTAAAACACACTGGGCCCATATCTAAATTAAGCTCTTTATGTTTTAAGGGGGATTTAGCGGATTCTCCTTTATACTTAAAATGTTCTTTGAAATTCCAATTTTAGCCTGAATTGCCGTGGATTTGACATCCTTTGCAAGTGGAAAACTGAATTATGTCACACTCGTGTTAGTTTGGTGTTGAAGACGATGGTTTCCACGGTAAGACTATATTCAGTAGCAACCCCTGCGATCACTAAAGATCGAAACGTTGGCACGATAAAGAAATTGTTTTTCCAAACCTAAATCACACCATTTTTAAGACTTATAAAAATAGATTCTGGCTTTAAAAGTAAAATTCCTGTACTGTAAATTATTTTCCAATTACAAACATCAGTTACAGGAAGTTTACTTTCCATGCTTATATTTCCTGCCATCTCCTAAGTTTTTTATGGCATTAAATAAATGGTTAATTTGAAGTTAAAAAGGTTTTCCTTGAAATTAACAATGGTTAGTTTGAAGTTAAAAATGTCTAATGTGAAATTACAAGGTTTAATTAAAGTTAAAAAGGGTTAATTGAAATTATAAAAGATTACTTTGAAGTTAAATAGGGTTAATTCGACGGAAAAGGCTTATATACTTATTTGTATAAGTATAAGATAGTTTGCTTATTTTCCAATTACAAACCATTAGTTACAGGAATTTTACTTTACATCCCTATATTTCCTATGATCTACTAAGTTTTTAAAGCTTTAAATAAATGATTAATTTAAAAATAAAAAGGGTTAATTTGAAGTTAAAAAAAAGTTTACATTGAAATTAAAAAGGGTTATTTTTAAATTAAAAAGGGTTAATTTAACGTTAAAAAGGGTTACTTTAACATTAAAAAAGGTTAATTTGAAGTTAGATATGGTTAATATGACGAAAAATATCTATGAACTAACCGTGTTATAAAGTTCTTCTAAACGGGGGATAGTGAGAAATTTTCTCATGCTGACACCATTCTCGAGAAGTAGTTTGACGAAGTCGATCCTGTCGTGCTCCAACGCTTGCATCATAGCTTCATCTAAAGCTCCTGAAATAATAAGTATATATAATACGTGAAAAAAATATACGTTTAAATGGGTACAAACCCGCTGGCCATTCTTGGCCGTAAATGAATATTTCCGACTGAGCTATGTCCACCCTGTTCCACGTCAGTGCAAGACTTAATTGCTCCGATGGCGAAAGATGCTGGCTTTTGAACAAAGCCGTCAGTATCGTTTGATCGAATTCTTGATTATTGTTCTCCTCTCTGTCGTTGATTCTAAACACTGTTATCTGAAAACGGAAGGAATCGGACTTAATTAAGGAATGACAGTTCGGTAGGCCGATTGGGCAAAACGATATTTAATTAGAAGAAGGGATTAGATTTACGGTATTTATTGTCAGCCCTTTTATAAATTAGAATTTTGGTTTTAAATTTGGTTAAAAACGTACGTTTTGATAAAATTTTCCGCCCCGCCCCCAACCTAACTTGTGTGTTTATTATTCACATATTATAACGTACAACGTGAAAAACAAAATAAATTAATACATAATTCAAAGAGCATAACCAGTTTCATTACACAGACGAACACACTTTATTTTTATTTTATTTTTTGAAGGTTTTTATTTATATAGAGATTTTATCGCTTGAAGAAAATCCTGCTTCAATCATGATGTGGTAATCCCGATGACATTTTCTTGTAAAGTTTAATCGGATGCCGAATCTCTACTGCAAAAGGAGAGAGGTTTTTTCCGTGAAGTGATTGAACGGATGATATTCAAAGTGAGAGAGTTTTTCTTGGTCCAGACAGGCTCGATGCTATCGTCCGCCCCCCAACCTATCTGGTGTGTTTAATTAATTCGGGAATTTGGATTGAGCTCGGCTGGTGTTCACAATCACAAATCAACCTTAGAGAAAAAAGAAACGAATTTATTTTTCTCCAGTTTCAATTAGTTGAAAAACTCACAGACTACAAATACATGTTTAAGATTTATTGCTTCATTAATTAAATCTAACTAAAAAAGATAACACATTACGTAAATAAAATAATTAATGGTTTAAATAAAAAAAAAATTAAATTATTTTATGCTTTTTTGACATTTTGTTACATTATTATTTCTTTATAACAGTGAGTAAGGAAATGCGTTTTCCAGATATTTTGTTGATTAATCAATGAAATAAAATTCCTGGGGATGCCAAGCAATGTTGAGGTGTATGGAAGAGCTCTTAAACAGATGCTCAAACTATTCTGGGATCAACAAAGGATGAATTTCTAAAATATCTGGTTGAGATGATGAGGAGGAGCATATTAGGAAGAGGGGGTTTGGTATTCCCCAAGCGCTGCAGCTTTGTAGCTTATTGAACTTTTTCTATTTTTTTTGTTCAGTTCAATTCGATCCGTCTTTTAAGAAGTAGAAGGTCATCATGGTAATTTATTTTACCTTTCTACTGAGCAGTTGCTTCATATTAGGAAGGTAATATGGTTGGCAGTTCCTTATAATTACATAACCGACAAATTGGGTTCATTCTTAAATAAAACTTGTGTAGGTGTGTTTTCATATGCCATTAAGCAGTCTTATCACTCCCTTTAGTTTTATCTTTGTCATCGTATAACTCGTACTGAGAGGTTGCTTCAACATCAAATGTAATGTGGGTGGTAATTTATTCTACAAATTTGGATCCTAGTTGAATATATTCACGTTGTGTAGGTGTTTTCACCTTTCACATTTCAGTGACCACTATAGCTCCTTAGTGTTCCCCTCAGTTTTATCCTGTTTAATTATAAAAGGGCTCTTGCCAGTTTTGGGAAGGGATCTTTAATAGGTATATTAAAGTTATGCAAATCCTCCTCTGCCCAGTTTGTCCGCTTGTTCATTACACAAAATTTCTTTGTCCCCTGGGAACCAAGAAATTGATAAGTTGTTATGATTCCCCGGTTTTGGACATTTAGTATGCATTCACTATTTTTTCATGCTACGTTTTTCCATGCTATATGCTTTTAGCACTCCTCAGAATTATTTTTGTTAGTATAACCTCTTTTATTATTTTCTAGCATTTCAGGTTGGAAGACCAAGATATCATTCCTTAACTAGTTTGATTGCCCATATTTTGGGCTTGCAAGCAATATACCCTATTCTACACATGTGTTAGTTACATCTGTATACCATGAAACTATTTGATTTTCTCCTGTTCTCTTCTTCCCTTTTGTAGTCTGTTAAGCTTTGTAGAATGCAAAGGATGTTTCCGAAGTCATGGTCAATTACTGTTTCCTAAAAAGGGTGTCTGGTTTTATTTGTTATTGTTGAATGCCTGAAGTATTTAGTATTCATCCAACATATTTTTTTCTGGAGTCTGTACGAGTTTTTCCTAGCTTTTTCTTGTACATATTAGGGTCAATGTTTACAATAATTTGTGTAAGTGTTTTCTCGGATGCTAGTGATCGGTATAGAACCTTATCACTCACCTTAGTTTTCCCTGCGTCATCTTGGTCCTAGGTTATCTCGCCATTGAGCGGTCGCTTCTCAATCAAAGGCAATATCGGTGATACCCGATAGTTTCATCCTTCTTATTGCATAACCTACACACATGGGCACATTGAACATACCCAAGTTGTGTTGGTGCTTTCCCAAATGCTAGTGACTGTATCTCAGATGTAGAACCCTCTCACGCCCCGTATTTTTACTGTGTTTAGGTTTGGCGAGGAAAAGCACTTTAATTCCCTTATTAGTTTGTTACTCATATTTTGGACTTTCACAGAATATACCTGTCCCAGTTCTTACTCCTTTTGGAACATTCTGTATAAATATAGAAATGTATTTCATGTTCTGCAGAACTTTTCTCCTCCTTTTTAGTCTGGTAATACTTTGTATGATGCGAAGAATGTTTCTAGGTCCATGTCTGGCAAGAATGTACTATGTCTGGCATTTCTACTGTTCGTCCATTTCTTTTTTGTTTTGCACACAAGCCGATTCTGAGATGGAGGAGTCTGTTTAACCACGTCCTTGAACCCATGAAACAGTCTTTCAGATTCTTCTCTAGCCAAATTCTTGTTGTTTTTCCAGGTTTTGGACGTTTTGAATGCATTCACCATTTTGGATATGACATTTTAAGTACCGCTTTTAGAGCGTCTTGGTTGTCTGATCAAGGAGGATATTTTTTTCAGTGTAACCTCTCCTAAGATTTTCTAATATTTCTTGAAGTACTGAGATGTACTTCCCTTATTAGTTTGATTACTCATACTTTGGACTTTCACAGAATATACCTGTCCCAGTTCTTACTCCTTTTGGAACATTCTGTATAATTATAGAACTGTATTTCATTTTCTGCAGAACTTTTCTCCTCCTTTTTAGTCTGGTAATACTTTGTATGATGCGAAGAATGTTTCTAGGTTCACATAGTCATTCCACATTTCTAAAATGGGTGTCTGATCTTATTTTTATTTTATACCTATTAGGTTTCGTGGTCCGATTGACCAAATAAATTCTTTTCCATTAATTAAGGCTTTGGTTGAGATATATCTCAGCCAAAGCCGTAATTAATTGAAAAGAATTTATTTTATACCTGGAATTTTTTAGTCCCCACCAAATTTATTAGTTTCTGCAGTCTGTAAGAGCGGTTCCTAGCTACATAATCATTAATGATTCCAAAATATAACAAATTTTCTGACTCATGTAATTTTAATTTAATTTCAGAATCACATGATTTGATTTATTGTTTATTTTGTATTCACCGATTCATTCTAAATGTTGAATCGGTGAGTTCAATTTAGCGAAATAGCAGCTCTGAAGAGGGACCAGGGAGGTGGCCCGAAATGCACAAGCAAGTGAAATATATTGAAAGTAAATGGATGTGTTTAGTTAAAAAAAAGAAAGAACCAACATCCTAGATGGCAGCGCCAGTGAGCGGGGTCGTCCGAGAGGCTCTTGCCGGTCAAAAGCACGACCTGAAGATTGCCCCGAAAGCCTGAGCCGAAGACGAGGAATCGTCCTTATCCGATTGAGAATAGGTCGGGAGAATAGGTAGGATAATAGGAAATTGAGAATAGGAGTGAGACCCTGTGTGGCTGGGGGATACAAGCGACCCAGTCACATAACAGTAATGACAGCACATCGGGGAGTGATAACCCTTCGGGGTGAAAATTCAGAGAAATAACAAGTAAAAATCCACTAAGTTTAACGTCCAGCCGCAGCGAGGCTGAGGGCCCGTCCGCCAGAAGGGGGAAGCTCTCGTTCACAATTCCCTTTTTGTCATTAACGTTGGGGTTTCCGTTCCCTTTGTGAATTTAAATCAGATCAAACATAACCCTGAACAATAAATACCCTTTATTCTTAACCTTCAACAGTATAGCCAATACACCTTAAATAAATTAATTGAAAGAGGTCATTTGGTCAATCGTCAATCACCACGAAATCTAATGGATTTAATAAGTTAAATGAAGTATATCTTCACTAAAGCTCTCCGTGGCCATTTCATTTGTCGCCGAGAATCAAATAGACTACACGACATTTTAAAAATGGTGAAAAGGAGGGAAAATTCGAAAGGTTGGGTTGAGATGGGAAATTGGTGTTCGAGTGTATCGAAGTCACGATAGATTGGTAGAGCAGCGGCGTATTTAGCCGAAGGTCGCGGGTTCGAATCCCGCTCGTGACACTGTCTTTTTTATCTCAACCAATACCTTACATAAAGATTAATTAATTGAAAGATGTTACTAGGTCAATCGGACCACAAAATCTATTGGATTTAATAACTAAAGTGGTAAGACAAGTAAAATAATCCAAAAAGCTGCAGTATTTGGGGAATACCAAACAAATAATCTGTATCTCGGTATGGTCTGGATGAAAAACAAAACAAAAACAAATTAAATTGTTTGTCTACCAAGCTTTCGATATATTTTAAGGTCATCATTGGAGCAAAACAATCTTAAAGATGTCTAAAAATATACATAATTGAGTTTTTAATAGATGGTTTCAAGAGTCTGTCAAGAATGGTTCAGTCTCAAAATTGCCAAGGACTGTAACAATATTGACAACAAATACAAGTCTTGATAATACCATGTTGTGAATTATGGGTGAGTAAAATATACATCGATAAATCTAATACTTTAAACAGAATACCAAACCTTCCTCCTCATCACAATCATCATTATTCACTTGATCTTTTAGAAATTCATCCTTCGTTGGTCGTAGGATAGCTTGAGAATCTATTTGAGAGCAAGCCTCTGTCACATGACGTCTTATTATCAATATTTACTAAATAAATTAGTGGGCTTAAGTAGTATTAATCAAACACCAAAACTAAACAACTAATTTGACGTGTTATTTTTAGAATATCTGACGTTTTCATGCATAAATTTTTAAATGGTTTTTGCCAGTTTTCATAAGATTGAGTGGACTATTTATTCCATCATTTGAAAGAAGAGTTTGTGCTCAATTAAACTTTGCTTAAACTTTTTTCTTGTTTGAGTTATTTTTGAATAACCTAAGGGTGACATTAATGAGATAACACCCTGTATAAGCTATATAAATAGAAACGACTTTCTGAAGAGTTCAATAGAAAAAATTGATAATTGAACATAAAAACTTTTGTTGAACCGGCACACGGGCACTACTGGGTCTGTCTTCACTCGCGGGTTTTAGACAGACCCAGTAGTGCCCGTGTGCCGGTTCAACATGAGTTCACAAACTCGCAGACCAAACCCCATCATCTACTATTAAGACTTTTGTTTTTCTTTAGTGACCTGAAAAAAAACTCTTCCTTTGACTTTTATATAAACATTCACTGGGCTTTGTGGTTAAGAACGGAGTCTATATATGTCATAAATAACAATACAAAATAAAACCTTTTCATTTTCAATGTCCATCTTTAATTATTTATGATGTAGTTTAGGTTTTCGCCATTCGGAGTTAAAATTACACACGAAAATACAGTTAGAACAGAGAGTTGGACTATGATACCACATTCGCTTAATACAGGAAATTTATTAATATAATTATTAAACTGACAATAATAAATTACGTAATAAAAATTAAACTCAAGGTAGAAAATATTTTGTTGGAGTCGTGAGGAGCGGTCAAGAAGAATCTTCTCACGACTTCAAGAAATCATCAAACAACCGACCACTAGAAAAACTCACGTAAAGAATATTGTTGTACAAGAATTAAAGCCCTTTTAGTCCAGATTAAACCTTGCGAACATGTATGATAAGGACTTAAACAAATGTCGTCTTATTCAGGTGTAGCTTAACGATGGTTAGCAGAATCTTATATAAGTCGGCCAGACAACAAATACAACCGATCTGTACATTGTAACGGCAAAGGGTCAAAGGGAAAAAATGGCTAAACCTTACCAAATTTTTCTTTCTCGTACACTGTAGAAGCTCGTTATAAAGGCATTCCCCTTGTTCGGGCCCGACTTCAAATGTCCTTTGAATCGTATCGATAAGATGGTCCTTCATATTTTCCAAAAGTGGCTGCTCGCCCGTTTCGGACTCGACGGCGTACCTGCAAATAAAATCAAAACTGAAAGTTAGGTAATGTGGCGCAATGTTGAGGATACCTCGATTCGATTAAATTTAAATTAAACAATTTACAACGTACTTCGTTTGAGGCGGATATTCTGTTACTATAATCTTTATAGTATTTAATAGTGTTAGTGTTGTATTATAGTAATCATTCCAATAATGCGAAATGGAAGCAGTGACTAACACTATTATCTATAAAAGTTTGAACGCAACGAAAGAACGCGAGAAAACTGAGTACAATCTTTTTGCACAATTTGGCACTACCTGTTGCTTTTAGAATATCCCTTTACTTATTTTATACATTGACTACTAGAAAATCCGCATTTCATTTAATATACGATATGTGTTGACAATATTTTAATTTAATTGGACCATTTTTGACTTACTTATGCGTGAAAGCTAAAAGGTCGGCTGCTCTTCCTGAACCATCGCAGACGACGACTGGCACAGGAGGAGAATCTGTCACATATTCTAAAACAGCTCTTATTGTGTTGGTCCCTCCTTCGATAACAAGGCAAACTACAGGCGTACTGCAATGCGTACCTGGAAGAACAAAAATAGGATCGTTTAACAAGGAACATTGACTATTATAGACTCAGTCCTGAGGAAGAAAAATTCGACTCTCCAAGCATACAACTAATAATTACACGTAAAGAAGTGAAAATTTCTGCTAAACAAAACCTGAGTTTTGTTTAAAAATAAATTGTGAATGACTAACCAAGTTTCAATGTGTTCATGGGAGGATTCCAAAATGACAAACAGTTATGAATTATCTTTGATAGTTTTTATTGTTGACGATTGATATTATTGCTGAAAACCTATACTACTTTTTCATCAAGTAGTCGGCAAGGGAAGAAAAAAGAGTGTTTAGTTCTTTAAAAACTTCATATATCCCTCTTTTTTACTACTTTTCAATCGAGGAGTGGGCTTGTAAAGAAAAAAAACTGTTTGGTTTTCTAACAACAATATATTTCCGTTTATGCCTTTTTTTCATTGAAGAGTCAGCCAGGGAAGAAAAAAAGAAGACTGATTCGTTGTTTAAAAACGTTATATATTCCTTTTTTTGCTACTTTTCATTGAAGAGCGGGCCAGAGAAGAAAACAGACAAAGATTGTTTAATCTTTAAAAACGTCATTTTTCCTACATTTCTGCCACTTTTCATGGAGGAGTGGACCAGGAAAATAAAAACTATTTAGTTTTTAAAACGTTGCATTTCTTTATTTTTTTTGCTAGGTTTTCATCAAGGAGTGCCCAAGGGAAGAAAAAATACTGTGGTTATTTAAAAATCTCATTTTTTCCGTTTTGTTACTTTCTTAACGAGAAGTTGGCCTCTTTTACCTTGTGCACTGAGCCAGGGATGAAATAAAACTGTTTGGTTATTTAAAAACGTAATATATCTTCCTTTTTCCAACTTTTCCAACACGAAGTATGCCTGGAAAAAAGACAATTTCGTTTTGTAAAACCTTTTATTTCTCGTCTTATTTTGCTTTTTTCATCGAGGAAGTGGACCAGTGGGAAAAAAACTATTTGGTTTGTAAAACGTAATGTTTCTTTCTCTTTTGCTATTTTTCACTGATGAGTCAGCCATTGAAGAAAAAAGAAATTTTATTTCAATAAAAAACGTTATATATCTCTGAGTGAACCAGGGAATAAAAGAGACTGTTTAGTTCTTTAAAACCGTTATATTTTCTTTTCTATTATTTTGTTACTTTTTCTGAGAAAGAAAGACAACCGTTTAGTTTTGTAAAACATTATACTTCCCTTTTATCAGTTTGCATCGAGAAATTGGCCAGGAAAGAAAAAAGCCGCTTTAGTTTCTGAAACAGAAGTATTTTCTTTTTTTTCTGGTTAACTTTTTAATCAAAGAAGCGACCAAAAAAGATGACACTGTTTAGCTTTAAAAAGTTTAAAGTTTTAAAATCCGTTCCGTTTCCTTCGTTTTTGATACGTTTTCATCGAGCAATGGTTTAAGCAATAAAGAAGCCAGTTTAGTTTTTAAAAGCGTAATATTATGTCTTCTTTTCTGCTACTTGCTGCTCTTCGAGAAGTTGGCATGGGAAGAAAAGTGATTTCTTTGTGCTTTAAAGATGCTTTCTCTTTTCTTTTATAAGTTATGAAATAAATTATATTTATAATTTCCAGCCGATGCAATATATTTATCGATTTATCCAGCTTAGGACAACAAATTGACACAATTTAATTGGCTTCGCGATGAGGGATGCTAGTCGAGAGGGCGAATGATCAAACGTGAGGTAAAGCTTATTTACTGATCTATTCTCACTGATTGCTGAACGCCGGCTGTACGTCTGCTGATAATGACTAATATTGATGATAATCTAATTTGTATCCCGAGTGCAAGACCAGGGGTATACGTAAATATTAGCAATCAAACGTAACAAGATTTATACATTTAACTGGCTATATTTGAAATACTTATTACATTTCTTGTAATTTTTTATAATTATTTTTTACTGATGCTAATAGATCAAATCGTTACAAAATACTATTTTTAAAAGAACGACAATAGCAGTATTAGTTTGTTAAATTTTATGCTTACGAACTTGCAATCATTATGTTGCCTAAAAATGGCAAAATGTCAATGATAACAAGTGGATAATACACAATAGATTTGATAATGAATAAAACAGTTTTTATTTTATTGAAATATTCACAATTAACTAGATGCTAACCGGATAATTTTGTTACAAAAAGGCCTACGCTACGTGTTTAGCGATTTGCAGGACGTTGAAGTTTTCTTGGATCGTACAAATTTATTCCCCCCTCACCTGCAGCAATGGCGAAATTGTCTTCCTACGTTCAATCATTTGCCGTTATGAATTCAGTCCTCATTCTGAAAAGAGCTGTATGTAAATAGGGTCTCAGAACGGTAATAGGAAATTGTCTTGGGTCTCTTACATTTCCGACCAAATGGTATAACAGGCAGCAAAACGCGGATCCTCATTTTAGTTTTAAACCCGCCCCTTCATAATTGGACTAGCAGCCCGTGAGGATATTCCCCAGGATGATTGCTAACATATTTTGAAAGGGCACCTTTCTGGGAACACAATAGGTAACAATAACAAACTGTAAGGCTGGCTTAAAAATAGAAGAATTTATATAATTCCGATCGCTTAAAAAGGAAGTTCTAAAGTTCTAATAATGATGGTCCGTATCCTGGACCGTCAAGAAGATGGTAGGCCTAATGTCAGTCGCAGAATCATAAAAGGGCAAATAGGACAGAAAATTAACACTAGTTTAATTATTACATTGAGATAATTCATGGCAGTTGGTAGTTCGTATGAAAATTTGCCAATTAACCACCAAAATCTTTCACAACTGTCGTCGATTAGGTTGACCGAATTAATTTTAGACTAGTCACTTGCTATTTGATTCATTCAGTAAAATCAGAGTGACAGGTGTCGGGCGGCGCTTGATCTAGCAAGTATATTGAAAAGTATTGCTATTTTTTTCTTGTGGTAAATAGGTTTTACTCGATGCTTTTGGCGCATCGAATACGCATGATTGGGTAATAATTTTCATGGGAAGGAGAGCAGGCTGCATCGCCGTCGGTGATTCTGCTTCAAAAGTGGATTACCACGTTTTTGGTTTTGGGGTCACCATAAAAATTTTCGAAAATGCTAAATATAATAAAATTTGGACCAGAGATGGCCGGGTCCTTCGGTCTTCATAACTTCTTTCCCAAAGAAAACACGATCCGCTAAAATAAAGGAATGAAATAACAAAGGCAATGAAAATATACCTTGTTTACTACTTTTTTACTTTTGAGGAAAAAAGAAGATTGTTTGGATCTTAAAAAACGATATATTTTATACTTTATTGCTACTTTTTCATCAAGTGGACCAGGGAAGAAAAAAGATATATTTATCGCTTTTTTATTGAGAAATCGGCGAGAGGAAAAAGAAGTAAGTTCAGCTCTTTAAAAACGTCATATTTCATACTTTTTTGCCACTTTTTCATCGACTTGTAGGCCAGTGAAAAATAGACTGATTAGTTCATTAAAAAATACATATATCTCTCTTTCCCTTTTTTTGCTAGGTTTTAATCACGGAGTGACCAGGGAAGAAATAGCGAATTTTAGTTATTTTGCTAAGTTTTCCTGAACAGTCTGCCAGGGAATAAAGAAGACTGCTTAGTTCTTAAGAACGTTATATCTTCCTCTTTGTTTGCTACTTTTTTCTAAAGGAGTCGACCAGGAAAGAAATAAGGAATTTTGATTTATTTAAAAAGTTATATTTATCTCTTTTTTTGCTACGTTTTCCAGAGGAGTCTGCCAGGTAAGAAAGAAGACCAGTTAGTTCTTTAAGAACGGGGGTACGAGAGGGTACTATGCGTCTCTAATAGCCTCTAATACTAAACTCCGAGTTTTCACTTTCACGAAGCTTATGCCAATGTTCTCTGTAAATCAAAAAGACGGAAAGAGGGCTGCGGAGGAATTGGAGCTGGACCTGTCACCTCCTAAACCCTAGACCCGACCATACTCCTCTTCCTACCCCAATCCCAAAATCCCAATCCTGATCTTACGATCCAGCCCCAATCTAAGGTTTAGACGACCCGTGTCGAAGGATGGTAGCGGTAACCCCCTTAGTAATCAGCCTTACTCCGCAGAGAGGACTCCTTCGGTGCTGACCTTTAGATACCTCATACTCAAGGCAATCACATGGATAATAAATAAAAAATCGGGAAACCTGCAAAAGGAAGACACCAAAAACCAACTTATGGAAATTGAAGAGGGCTCCGCACCCTCTACAACTCCCATAAACCAGGGGAGCGCCTGGGAAGGGGCAAACCTCAGGGTAGGTCCTTGTACAGAAATAGTAAAAACCGCTAGAGTGGCCATGTGGGTGTAGGGTCTTGATCTTCTGGGCACTACGGATGCTACGACCACTCTCGGGTTGATGAAATCCCCGAATCAAGATATTAATACCAGTCAATGAAGGGTCGTCACCAAGAGAGTAGAAAGCAATGGACTAACACTTGTAGTAGACATGGATGATGCATCTTTTGGGGCTCAAAGCAAAGAAACTTAAAACATTATCTTGCCTTTGCAATGATAAGGGTCATAAAAAAAACAGTAAAGACTGACGTTGAGGGTGCTTCAAGCAAACCTCCAGCACAGGAAAGCTGCAAGACTTACGCTTTGTGGCCTAGGAAAACAACAATGATGTAGCACTTATCCAGGAACCCAGACAAACTAGCGGCACTAACAAAAAAACGTCGCAAACTTTTGATTAAAGCGAGAGAAACGAGGAATACTAAAGAATACAGTAAAGCCCTAACTGAATACAATAGGGAGATAAAAAAAGGCAAAACAAGAATCGTGGAGGAAATATTGCAAAGGAGTATATATTATTGCAAGTAGACTCCACAAAATCCTTGCCCAAGTCCCTCTAAACCTCATTGGAACTCTAAAACTACCACCAAGCCCATTGATGAAACAGAAGAGGTTCCGATCCACTTGAAATATAATGTAACCAACTCGGTATGTCGTTCAATCATCTGTTACGGTTGTACAGATATGTGGCTACCAACAATATGAAGAAGTCGAGAAATTCCAAAAATGTTGTATTCGTAAGTTATTTGCACTTTCTAACCCTACCCCAAACTACATGATTTATTTAGAAACGTCCACTGATCTGATTTACATATATACCCTATAACTTCACTTTTCATTTAGTTTTAAAATTTTGAATTCCCCGTATACAAAATTGGATAAAATAAAAGCGATCGAAGTTATCAAGACTAAGACCTCATGCCCAATGGCTTACCCTCTATCAAAGATTTGAGTAATCTGTCCCACCTACGAAAACCTCGCTGATTGGCCAGCTCTTTATTCAGTTCTGCTGTCTAGAATCAAGCATCGACATCGGAACGATTGTTTACAGGGGGCTCATTCCTTGCTTAACTTTTCCTTATTTAAAGACTTAACTCACCCCCACACGTTACTTAATCTACTACATATTGAGAGAGAATCTAAATTCTCTTAGTTTATCAAACTTAAAATGTCTATTAAAAACCCGTTGCAAGGCCCTTAACTTGAAATCTGCACTTTGGTTGAGATGCAAGGAGGGGTTATGTGCCCTTTGCAATTCTCAATCCGTAAAAACAACATTACATTTTATGGCTGAATATAATATTGAGCAAGATCAGGTTGTTGCACTTGGGATCTTTTACTCTCTCTAGAAACACGCTGTTAAATCTGTTGGATGGCTCATATTCACGGGCGCTCACTCAGTACGTCCGCCACGCCTGGAAATATAGATTAGACCTAATTATGGAATTCAATTTTTGACCTCTCCAATTCATTCTAATTTCCTTTATATATTATATTATTTTATTTTATCCGATAATTTATCGCTTTACGATGAAGACTTTTTCTCTCTGTATATTTTTTTAAATTTTTTTATTATAGGTATTTTTACTAATATGTTTAACTTATTTTTTTGTGTGTGCCAGCATATAGCGAGTAATTTTAAAACCTCGTTTTATTCGTTTTCGCTTTATTATTATTTCTTCATTATTATTATTATTATTATTATTATTATTTGTTTTTTGTTCTTTTTCTCTTAACAACAACCTCCGGCAGACTGATTGTAATCCACGCCTGCACTATGCTTTGTAAATAATCATACAGGTATATTCATGGAAATAAAAAACATTAATAAACCTGAACTATTGAATCAGTCAAACGTCACAAAGCCAGTAAGGAAGATTGACAAATAGCTAAAACATTAATAACCTATGAAAAGATTGAATGGGCTATTGAGAACTTCAGCCCATTAGGAACCTTCTTGCACATTGAAAGAAAATTTGATAACACTCTTTTTGACGCTTTGGCTACGTCCTGAAACAGCGAGGACCTGATAAAACCTGCTGTAGATTGGTAGAATCAACGGTAAAAAGCAGAAAAGCGCTGACCTGAAAAGGTGGAAGCAACGGTGGCGAGAGGATGTCCTCAAGGAGGAATTCTCACCTCTGTTATGGAATATGGTAGTGGATGACCTCACATGCAAACTAAATGAATCTATACCCAAGGCTATGCAATGTCATACTAGTTCGGGGGAAATTTCGACTCAACATTAAAAGAGCTCAACCAAAGAGATAACTTATTAGCTTAGCTCACTAAGCGTGGTCGAACAATGGTGTTCACAACGACGACTTAAAGCAAACCCCTCAGAAACTACCCTAATAGCTTTCACCAAGAAAAGAAACATAGAAATGAAAGGCATATGTTTCTATAATGAAATGGTGAAGCTAAAAAACGAAACAAATGCTAGGAATAAACTTTAATAAAAATTTAACCTCGAAACCTCACCTGCAGCATAACAAAAGTTAAAACATCGCTAAGGACCACAAGAAAAACCCTAGGAAAATCTTGTAAAATGATATCTTGGGTGCCAGGACACAAGGAAATTTTGAGTAACGAAAAAGCAGACACACTGACAAGAAGAGGACCTGCAATAACATATGTATAGGCCTCTGTTTTTATTACGTTTTTGTCGAGGATTTGGCAGGGAAGATAGAATAGGGAAGGATTATTTGTTTAGGAACGTTATTGCTCTCTTTATTGCTACGTTTTCATCGAAAATTGGCCAGGAATAAAAATAGAGAGATTGTTTAGTTATATTTTTATTCCAAAAAATTTTCTCTCTCCAAATGCTGTATAAGGCCAAAGGAGCATGTAAACTTAACGTAATGACACCATTATTATAACGTTGAATTTCGCTAAAATCAAGAGGGCTTGGAATAAGTAGAATAAATGGAGCAATATGAGAAAAAGAAATGGTCCATGTTTATTCAGTATAAAAATGTCTATATTTTGTTTGCTATAAAAATGACTAGATTTTGTTTGCTATAAAAATGTCTATATTTCGTTTGCTATAAAAATTGATATTTAATGGTTTTAGAGAATGCCTAAAATGAATCCGAATTTAAAAAAATATTTTTTGGCATTCTTTATTGATACAGTATTTTTGATTTTTTTAAATTTACATATAACTGACCTCATTTAATACAATGTTCCACATTCTTTTCTGATCACAGATAAAACAACCCCGAATTACTGGCATTTCCATGATATACTTGCATAACAAAAACCGAAAAACATATTTAAAAAACTATGTAAAGTACATAAAATATTTTTTCTCGGCTTATTGGCAAGAACCCTCGGACAAGTGTCATTTTTCATTTTGTCGACCTGTTATATCAAAACAAGTTCAATTAATCTTTTTTACATTAAAAAATCATATATTGTAATTATATAAAGAGGAAATTATATTGTTTAGTTGAGATTAAGAAGGTCACAAAAATAATGATTGACTGAGTAGGTAAGAGCGAAACGAAAGAATTTAAAAACAATGTAGAAAATGAGATAGGATAGACGGATAAGCTAGTTAGATGGGATATAGTTAAAGGGAGAGGAAATTGGAGGACGGCACACGTTGTGTGATTGGTGTGACAGAGCAGCGAAAATAATTCAAATTTGCTAAATTCCTAGCAGTAATCGTTTTCAGAGAAGAGATGTTATATCATAGCCGAGCACGATATGTAATTCGGATACGAGGAGAACGGAGTCATATAAGAAATTTATTAAAGAAGACCTTTGCAGACCCTAAAAAATGGCAACAGATAAAGTTGAAGGGGTGTAATTTATAAGGGCAGAAGGTAATACGTCAGCAGGGACTTACACGGATGTAGCTTTTGGATGGAAATGTACTTCTCCAACTTCCTCCTTAGGATAATTTCCGCACCGTAGCGTCCAGCCGTCCCGTTGTCAACCAAGAGGAAATAAGCGTGGCGGTTGTTGAGTACGGCGAACCTCGATCTGAAACATTCCAATTACATTGATTTAATTTACATACATTATAAATGTACCAATTAACCAGTTAAGCCACTGTACACGCCAGTGTTACAACATTATTTAAAGATCGTAGTGGTTAATAAATTGTCTCAGGATTTGGCTGCAAGGATTAGATGCGCTGGATATTCGATGACTAGGCGTGCCAAAAGTTGCTTGACAGATTGGATTTCTTGTTATTTATTTTTTTTAAAAGTTTTTACACATTCGTACTATATTGTGCTGACCAATCCAGAAATTTAAGACTAAAATCTCCAACCATTGGTTACCGGTGCATTATCTTGTTGGAAAATTGAATCTTCTTTTTCTAACAATGTGATATTCGGTTTAAGAAACTAATCCAACACTTTTTGACAGGTAGTACCATTTCTTTTTACAGTAATGAAGCGATTTGTGGCCCTTTAAAATTGAAAACAGCCAATACTACTTTTAGAATTCTACCTCACCACTGTGTGATCTTTTCGGAAGTTTTTTCTTTTCTTAAGTCGTATCAGTAATAATTAAAACCATCTGGGCAAGTAATACTTTACTTATATCTTTTTTCGTTCGTAAAAATAACTCATATCCGAATTTGGCTTTCCCTGCGTACATGGTTTCGGCTACTAAGGTGGCATAGCAGGTCGAATCGCCTCACAATCTTGGCAAAAAAGGATTGCTTTTTGAGATTTCCTTCAAAACAGCGAGTTTCATATGACGGAAACAATTTAATAGGTCTTACAGTTTTTTATTATTTCGAAATTTTCTTGACGTGAAATCGAAATATTTTTTACTACAGTATGGGAGCGATTTAACTCACAAGAAATTTGCCTCTATGCCATTTAAGACGATAATTTTAGCCGGTAGCAGCCGTAACAAAAGGATGGAAGGGAGAAGAAAAAGAGGAGACAGGCAGATAGGATCGTGCTTTCGAAAGGGACAATTTGGACGCAAGCCGAAGATTACAAAAAAAAAAAAAAGCGATCAATATTGACTTCCTTCTTTCCTCACAAAAAAGGTTTTTTCGTTGTTTGGTTTATAACGTATATGTATTTGTGTTGGAGCCAATTTATTTTTTTATTGTTAAATTAGAATTAACACTGTAGCTAGCTCAATTCTCATTTTTCAAAAGGTCATTTCTATATTAGTCAAGTTTTTCCAATTTTATATTATTGGCAAAGGGTTTAATTTTATTTTCTATGTTCAATAAATTGGTAGTTTTTTTTCCAAATGCAGTTATTATCTTTTTGATCACCAGTTGGTTTTTTAAAATTCTTTTCTTTCAGTTTTTCCTAATTTCTACATTGGGGGATATTAGCAACATTCCAGCTCTTTTTAGTCTTTTTAAGGTCAGACAAGACCAACTTTATCTAAACGGAGAAATAGCCCTCTGTTTGTGCACTTTTATCGAGAACCAATTTATATCTATAATATTAAAAAAGTTTTGGCTGAAGTTTGAAAGAGAGAAGGACCTATTTTATTTTAATGGTGTAAAAAGGGAAAAAGATAGTGGGAGGGTAAACACAAAGTTTTAATAATTTTATTTATTTCTCTCACTATTTTCTCCGTTTAAACTTTAAGAATCCATGTAGAATTATATATCGTTGGAAGGAGGAACGTTTTTTCTACAAAATAAGTCTAATTTGAAATTTGTAAACAATTCCTATCAGTCGATGATTCTTCAGACATAGGTTGGTTGATGTCAATCTATCTAACGCGTCCTGTTTTTTTTATTATTGATTATAGTCGATAGATGTCGTACAAATTCTTAGTATGCCAGTGAACACAAGGAAGCTGCGGACCTCCCTGACCTTACAGGATTTAGACTCCTCTTTGCTGGATTGTTTTGCTGGATCCTGTAGTTTCATACTTATCAAATCTTTTTTATATTTAATTTTAAATTTGATACCGCTAAAACAATTTGTAAGGGGTATTCATGTACAAAATAAAATAATAATAACTAATTGGTCAAGCGGACCACGAAATTAGTGAAAATAATAATAATAATTATTTTTATTATTAAAATTCTTCTTAAACGTATACTTAACGATTCTAAAAATCTAAAAATTCATTATCAAAATTAGTTGAAAACATTTATAGACGTCAATTTTTGTTTGAAAACATGATTTTTCTGGAAATGTAAACATGAAAAATGTGTAAATTCGCGAAGAGGTTAAATATTGTATGGAATCTCTCAAAACATGGCCTTGGAGCAAATAAATAAAAACAAATCCTTAGTCAAAGCACGAAAATCGAACACCAAAGCAAACTTGGAGGATACTTATGAGAAAGTTGAAGATGAGCTTTCATATAGCGCTCTAGGGTCTAAAAATTATGAATAAATGACAAATAAAACAAATTGTTTTTATTGTTTCTAATATCCCTCAAATATTCAAAATGAGTTCAAAAAAATATTTTAGAGAGAAAAAAGAAATGATAACATGACCAAACTGATACTCCTCATACTTGCTTTTTCTGATTCCATGAAAGCTAAATTTAATTGTTTCACTGCGGATATTTTACTTCACTGCGGAACCTATTTTGTTTTATATGTTTGCGAGGCGCATATTCTCTGAGACACTTGAAACGACTGAGAGCTTGACGCCAGACTGGCTCATGACAGCATTGGCGTCATCCGCAGTGAATGTTTTAAAAATTTAATTTTAATTCGCGGACCATTGATTTAAAAACACCATTAGGTGCAGAAAGGTCTGAAAAAGATTGCAAGTATATAATTTTTAATTTTTGGTATTAATAAACTGGTAACTATTAACTTGATTATTCATTGCTGCTAGATTTCACCACTCGAATCCGACATGGTATTATTTTATGCAAATGAAACTGGTTTATTAAACACTATCACTTTTAATTTACTATAAAAATGCGAATTGAAAGGATTTTTTTTTATAAATATAAAAGTAAATTGAAAATAAACGTTGATTAACACTTTGAGTTGATATTTATTCACAACGTGACAAGAGGCGTTAAAAAGTGTTTTTAGATTTTCACGTAAAGCAATGAATTTTGCTTTACATTCTTTCTATAACATATAATATAAAATCTAGCTTAAGATAGTGTTTGGCTATCATTTTTACGCAGATTTTATCAATGCATCAGTTTTATTTCTTTTGTTTTAATATTTTTACAGTACAATAGTTTACATTTTATATAAAATGACTAAATAGTAAAAGAATCTATCTGTATACTCTGAGGAGTACCTTCTTAAATTCGGCCTGCAATGCAAAAAACGACATACTAAGGACTACAATTTAAAAAAAACTCTTTGTGATTTATAGGAACATTTTAACAAGTAGAACAGAAAATAAATCAAGAAGATCACATATGTTTGAGTCTTTCAAACATTTTAATCAACAATGTGACTTTTTAAAACGAAAAACATCCTATTGAAATATTTCAAAAAATGATTGGGCCCAAAGTTTATGAAAAATTGTTTCGTTATTGAATTATTTTATGCTCTTTTATCTTTTACCCGACTAAGAGAAAAAGTAAGTTATGAAGAAAAGTAACGAAAGAGATTTTCCATTACACCTTCATGAAACTTATTTGCCTTTATATAATATTAAGGAATTTAACGAAATTTCCTTTCAAAGAATTAACAAACAGATGATTTTTTCGTAAACTATTGTAATAGCGCTTCTCGGTATAAAATGAAAAATTAAACAGCTCTCTGAATTACTTCAGCGCAAACCTAGGTCTGAATAATTAGGAAAACAAGAAATTTGCCATTAAAGAATCACTCAAAAGGAGCAGTAACCAAAAAGATACACCCAAACATCGAAAGAATGGGACTCAGAAAATTAAAAATAAATAAAAAATGAACAAAATAAAATAAAATAATAAATAAAATAAAAAAGTCATCCCTCGTTGTTCCTACAAAATTCGGATATACAGCTGGCCTGAATCGTAGGCATAGAGACAGCTTTTACTTGATATTTATATTAGAGCAGTGAATTCTAAACTCTAGAACATCAAGGAGGTCATTAGTAAAGAGCGCAAACAATAAGGGGCTAAATACTCAGCATTGTTTAACCCCAGATTTCGAATGGAAAATGCTTTGAACTAAGACATTAGAGAAGTAAAATCCAAATTCTAAACCAACAAGTAGATCATTAATCCAGAGCGAGCAAAACAAGATGCTGAAGACGCAGCATGTCTAACCCAAGAAGTTTTTAGAAGGCTTTCAGTTGAGACGTTAGTGTTGTAAATTCCGAAATCTAGAGCATCATGGAGTCCACTAATCTCGATAAAACAGAGAACATTCATAGGAGTGCTGCCAGTGAGCACTTTCTACACTCTTCTTTATTTAACTGTTTCATACACTCATTATTTCAAGGTATCCAATTGAAAGTAGTTGTAATACACTATAAATAAATTTAAAAAAGAATGATCGAAGGCACACGTAGAACAGAAATCTTTTGGATTTAATGGCCAGTGCGGTCCAACTTTTGAAAAAAGACGTTTAAAAACCATTCTTTATGGCTCTTAAAGGTGATCATTGATGAATGACCATTTTAAAATTATGGGAATCGAACACTTTGAACCAGGCCAAATTATGATTTTTTTACTTCAACCGATGTCATTTTGGAAAGTCAGGCAATAAGACCTACTCAAATATGAAAGATGGGCTTTTAGCGTATTTGTGAATAAAAAGTCGGTTGATGTCTATATGTAGAGCCTTGTCGTTAGGAGTAAAATTTGTTGGGAGTCTGCTAAAATTAAAAATACTGGTAATGACATACATAAACATTATTTACACAATTTTACTTAATACAAAAAGTAATTTGCTTTAAATTTTATTTAAAAGGTTTTCAACACTAGATCGTTAGAATACCGTTGAATTCACATAAAATCAATTCGAACTTGTGAACCAGCTGAATCGATGATTGCTCCACTCCAAAAATTCACATTTAATCCTAAACGAGACCTTTCAAATTCAGAAGGGGTGTTTTTAATATTTATGCAATCAATAC